TTCCCTCCACCCTCCCCATCCACCACACCAAACTTACCAGCTACACACAGCCCTCCATGCTGCCAGGCTGTGCTGCTCGCTGCCTGTATGCTGCACTGTGGCTGTGCACACACACAGGCATTTATCGGCTAAGTTATCGGCCAAGTTATCGGCCACTTGGGGTGGATTTCCGATAGTCACATCACTGCATCAACATTAACATGCAGTTCAATTCAGTTTTGGCCTCAAGTGATGTAAAAGGGAGCAGTAATTAGACCTAAATTTCTAGATGAGTGGGAGTAGAAAGAAAGGTGTACAGGGATCAACAATGGGATGAGTCTGGAAAGAGCCCTAAAAATGATGGCATGATAAGGCAAGAGTTGTTGACGGTATTCCCAGGATGCTAAAGGAACTGGCTGAAGACTCTTGTAGCCATTAGTGCCAATATTTGCACTCGGGAATAAAAGGTGAAGTCCTAGAGAACTAAAGAAGGGGCAACATAGTGTCAGTTTTTAAAAAGAAGGAAAAAGGAAGACACTAAGGTATTTATATGCCAGGTAGCCTAACTTCAACACCTGGGAAGTTATTGGAGCAAATAATAGGGTGGTTGATTTGTAAACATGTCATGGAAGCAATGATGATCATTAACAGCCGTTATGGCATGATTTGTTCCTAAAACATCCAAACAAATTACATTTTCTTCTTCATAAGGTAACTAGTTTCTTGGATGAAAGGAATACAATTGATACAATGTGGTTTTAATAACAATTTTGATACAGTCCCTCATGCCGTTCTCATATGTAAATTAAAGAAAAGTGGACTAGATAGCAAAACTATGAGGCAGTACCTAACTGTATAAATGACCATAAGCAGAGAATAGTTATAAGTGGATTGAAGTTAGGATGGCAGTAGGTTTTTTGTGGGGTAGCACAGGGGTCTGGTCATGGTCCAGTGCTTAAGATTTGTATTAATGACTTGGACACAAATGGAGAGCTTTCTGCTGAAGTTCTCAAATAACATAACATTGGGAGGAGTTGCAAACGCTTGGGAGGAAAGGATTAGAAATTAAGATGATCTCCATATATCAGAGATCTCAGCACTAGACCACAACATTAAATTTGCCCTAGACAAATGTAACATGCTGTACCTAGGGAAATAAAAATGAAATGTTCGAAAACAGGATGGGTGATGATTGAATAAGTAGTAGTATTAATGAGAATCATCTGGACATTTGGTAGATCACAAACTTAACATAATCATAGCATTATCATAAACTTAACATAAACTTATAAACAATATGATGCCATTGGGTGGGGGAAGGGGGAGCAGCATGAGAGGTAGTAGTACCACTCTCAGCTCTGGTGAGGCCTCATCTAGTTTTGTGTGCACTTCTGAACTCTGTGATTTAAAAAAGATGTGGAAAAACTGAAGAGAATTCAGAGGTAATTTGATGAAGATGATAAAGATGCTGGCATGGAAGTCATTGAAGGAACAGTTGAGAAAACTAAGCTTTTTCAGTTTAATGTCAAGGAGATTGAGGTAGGACACGATAGCAGTTGTCAAATATTTTAAATGCTGCTATAAAAAAAAAAAGCAAGTGTTCCCTTGCTGCAGAAGACAAGACATTGAAGCAGCAAAGCAGACTTAGATTTTTTTTTTTTTTTAAACCTTTCCTTACAGTTTAAAACAGCAGGGTATTGAGAACAGTTTCCCAAGGGAGTTGTGAAATTTGAGTTCACTGAAGGTTTAAAAGAAGAGACTGGGATAAGCATTGGTTTGGAATGATTGGGATGATATGAGCCAGATCCTATTGAGTGTCTTAGTGGACTTAGGTGCCTAAGTGATATTCTGTTATATTTTTGTAACTCACTGTCATCTTACCCTTCATACCAAGTTACAACAAAAGTCACAGCGAGGAGGAAGTGGGCCCGCCTTGGTATTTAACTTTTTTTTCCAGGACTGGAGCTATGTGGAATAGTATCTCACATGCCCAAGGCCACCTAATATGTGGAATAGAAGCTAGCCCTACAGGAGTAGGATATGCTAGGTCTGTGCAGGAAGTTGGACTATATGACCCTTGAGGTTCCTTCAACCCTAGGATTCTACTAAAATGGTGAACGGTTTGATTTAATGTGGCTGATGACTTCAGCAACAGCATTTTGAAGAGAATGTCAAAAAGAAGTAATATTACAAATGACCCAGGGTTTGGATGACAATGATGGTGGTGAGGGTCATTAGCAATAACAATGAAGAAAATGATGCTTTTGATGAGAGAGGAAAATAAAGGATATAACTAGAGCCTGGATATGGAGCATTGGAAAGAATTGAGATTGTAAGCCTTGGACGTGAGAGAGATATGAAACTTAATATAAAGAAGGAAGAAAGCAGATGCTGATTTAGAAAAAAAGGTAATGATTTGATGGTTAACCAAGGCTCAATCTTAACCAAGGCTGAGAAGCAGCCTTTAAGTGATTGGCTAGAAAGTCCCAGAGGAAGAGTCCCTCACAGCACTGCAACTGTCTGAGAATACTAGAGAGTACCTGTTTTCCTTGGTACAGATATTGTGTCGAATCTTGGCATGACCTGCTAAATGAACATGACAAACTTCTATAAATTGTTCCATTAACTTACTTGGGTAGTATCCAGAGATGAGCTACCAACATGAAATACTGCAACTTGAAAGATAGCATTTCACTAAAGGCTCCAGTTATCAACATTGCTTTCTTACTGTTCCTTAATTATATTGTTTTTATTGCAGTTTATGTTGCTAATCTCTTAATGGCATGGCAGAAGACAAAATCTCTACCCAGGTTGTGTATATATGTACAAACTTGGATTAACTGGGAATTCACGTAATTAGATGTAATGACATTGAGAAGAATTGATAGACATGCTGTTCCAAACTTAATAAAGGGATGAAAAATAATTTCTTCTAATACTAAGAAGAAATATCCAGTAATATCTGTAGTAGCTTATCATATACTGATGTTTTACATTGTGTTTCTAATAATAAGTTTCATGTTGCAGGAAACAGCATACTCCATTCAGCAGCAGATAGTGTGACCAGTGCAGTACAGAAGGCAAGTCAGGCTTTGAATGAGCGTGGTGAAAGGTTAGGCCGAGCAGAGGAAAAGACAGAGGAGCTGAGAAACACTGCTCAGCAGTTTGCAGAAACTGCACACAAGGTAAAACACTTATTTTTTTTTTAATGGAGCGGGTTTTGTGGCAAGTCAAAACAGACCTTCATTCCACTGCAGAAGAAATAAGCTCCGGGGAAGTCTTTCTTGATTGCTCCTACTTGCAAGCATCATGCTTTCCTTAAAAGTCTTCCTCAATACTTGAAGAATTCTTAATTATTATGTCCCTCTCTTGTGCATCCAGCCTGATATTATAACAGTTTCCCTGACTAGCTATAACATTATTCAACAGGTGCTGTGTAGAGTCTACAGTTGTTCTAACTGCATCCCTACATTAATAGCTGTCTTGCTCACCTTTCTTGGATAAGTACTTAAAGTTGATGTCATCATTTTATTTTAGCACGCTAAGAGTAATAACCAGGGATCCTGGTTTTCTCTATTTAAAAAAATCCCAAATTCTCTGATTAAAATCTGATTTTTTTTTTTCTGCAATTAAAATGAAATACCACTATAAATATAGGTATTAGTTGAACACAATGTTGTATTGATATATTTACAATTTTAAAGCAATTTAGAAGCCTCAATTGTTATAATAAAATAAATTCTAAATACCTTTATGTTTTGACATTTGATTTTGGGGTTTTTATGATAGAAAATCAGAGCTCCCCCTGCCACCTTCACTCACCAGGACATGGATCCAGCTGCGATTGTCGTCGTCCCCCCACTGCTTTGTGGCACTGAGCAGCCCTGGTATAGAGGTGCCCTGCCCCACCTATGCCGTTGCCCCTCACTCCCAACCCACAGCCCCCTGGCCCTACTAGTCCCCTTCACTTTCAACCTACAGACCCTTGGGCCTGCTGGTGCCCCTTACTCCCAGCCTGCAGCCCCACATGCATGTGGCGCCTCCTGCCTCATTTTATATATATAATCATTTTAAACATGGGGAAAAAGTGGATTTGGGGTTACTTTTTTTAACCAAAAACTGGGGATTTTTTAAAATCAGAGAAAACCAGGATCCCTGCTGATTACCCTCTTCCAACTCCTCCCGTACCTAAGCAATTGCTTGCAGGCTGGAACTCTGCCGGCCTACAAGGAAAGACCTGCTGTTTCCTGCATTTTCTCCTTTAAATGAGAAAAGCCACATTTTTCTGTGGTGAATGGAAAACCTGGATCCCTCATTACAACCATTAAAATTTGTCTGAACATTAGGCATGTACTTCAGCCTAACACTGAAATGGGGAAAAAATATAATTTTGTTCCGATTTCAGGAAATTGCCACTTATTATTGGTTATGATTGTCCTGCATGATATATAGGTTTATCTCTTATGATTCTGTCTACAAAGACCTTATTCTGCTCCTATAAGAAAGGCAGGGAGTTCCTCTGCTTTAGACCATACATTTCTTAATCTAACAGTTTCCAGTCTAAGTTCCTGATTTGTGGAATTAGAAATCCAATAAGGGGATCACTTGAACAAATGTCTGCTGCAAACACAGGAAACTGGACTTAGTGGTTTGGAAGGCCTCTTCCATTCCCATATTCCTACATCTCTGAGTCCTGGTTTGACTTTTGCACTCAAGTCTAGCTGCTAACACCAGGATCACAAAATGGATTTTGAGGTCCTTCTCAAATGTTCTAAAGTAGCAAGGTATGAAGGCTGGCCTTTGAGGCTAGGAACAGACATTCAAAAAGCCCAAGCCTGAATTGATTTACTCTTTGCAGATTAGTCAAAGCTGCGAAGCTTACTCTGATTGATAACTGGATAGACATTCTCTGTTAAATCAGGAAATGCAGCCACATGCCTGCAGTGACTCAAGCCAGAAGCTGGGGGATGCTAGAGGATGCCTGCCAGCTACTGCCAAAGGGAAGGGAGAAGAGACATCCTCCAAGGTTCTCTCAACACTTATGTGAAAACTGAACTACTGAATGACTACTTTGCTTCGGTATTTCACCGGACTAAGGGGAAAATCATGCTAGATAGGGTACAGAATTGGCATGATGGGAATCATGCTAGATAGGGTACAGAATTGGCATGGTGGGAATGACAGTCTTCCTACTGTTGATGTTGAACGGTGTGTGATCAGTTAGAAAAGTTAGACATTTATAAGTCAGCAAGACTTCATCCAAGAGTACTGAAGAAGCTGGCCAAAGTCATTGTGGGACCTCTGGCAAAACTCTTCCAAAACTTGTGTCACTCGGGGGAAGTCCCTGAAGACTGGAAGAGGGCCAGTGTTGTGCCCATCTTCAAGAAGGGGAGGAGAGAGGACCTGGGAAACTACAGACCAATTAGCCTAACTTGTATCCGAGGGAAAATCCTGGAAAAATTTATCAAGGAGTCTACGTGCAGTAGGTTTGCAAAAGGTAGGATTCTAAATGGCAGCCATCATGGCTTCATTGCGCGCAGGGCTTGTTTTACTAATCTCATCTCCTTTTACGATCAGGCAACTTTCCACCCGAATGAGAGAGAGAAGGTTGACATTGTATACCTCAATTTCCAAAAGGCCTTTGAACTGGTATCCCATGATGTTCTCACATGAAAATTGGAAGATTGTGGGCTTAACTGCTCAACAGTTAGGTGGGTAGGAAGCTGGCTGCAGAGTAGGACCCAGAGAGTTCTAATGAACGGATCTGTCTCATCCTGGTGAGAAGTGTCCAGTGGTGTGCCTCAGGGGACCATGCTTAGTCCAGTGCTTTTCAAATTCTTTATCAGTGATTTGGATGTGGGGGTAAAGAGCTCACTAGCCAAGTTTACGGACAACACCAAGTTATGGGGGAGTGTGGCCATGCTTGAATATAGGCTGCAGATACAGGCAGATCTAGACAGGCTGGCAAGTTGGGAGGATCAGAACCAGATGAAGTTTAATTGAGAAATGTAAAGTGCTGCATCTGGGGATGTACAATCCCCAACATACTTACAGGCTCAGTGGTGCCAAACTGACTAGCACCATGATTGAAAGGGACCTAGGGGGGATAATCAGCCACATTATGAATATGAGCTGTCAGTGTAATGCTGTAGCCAGCAGGGCAAACAGTACTCTGGCATGCATCAACCAATGCATCTCAAGCAAAGCCAAGGAAGTGATTCTTCCACTTTATACAGCATTGGTGAGATCACAGCTGGAGTACTGCATCCAGTTCTGGGGGCTGCACTTCAACAAGGATGTGGAAAAGCTTGAGAGAGTCCAGAGAAGAACCACCCATATGATCAGAGACTTGCAAGGCAAGCCATACGAGGAAAGGCTAAGGGACTTGAGTCTTGTCAGTCTAAAATAGAGAATACTGAAGGGGACTTGGTAGCAGCTTAGCACTACATCGGGGGAGTACATTAAGGGCTCGACAAACAACTGTTCACCAAGGCACCCTTGGGGAAAACCAGGAGTAATGGCACAAACTCCTGGAAGACCATTTCAGGCTTAACACTAGGAAAAGCTTCTTCACAGTCAGGGTGTCTAGACTGTGGAATAAACTCCCTCCAGAGGTGATGTAATCACCTACCCTGGATGTCTTCATGAGGAGACTAGACTGTCACCTCGCTGGGGTCACCTGACCCCTTTGTCTTTCCTGCCTGGGGTGGAAATGATCTTCAATGATCTTCAGAGGTCCCTACCAGCCCCTTACAATCTATGAAACCCCTCCCTGCTGGGGTGGAGGGGGTGTGACCAGTCAGCAGCCTGGGGCATTGGGGCGAGGGTGGGAACACAACAAATGCTGCCAGACTGAGGATCGGGGATGGGAAAAAAGTCCTTTCTCTAAAACAAGCATGTATCGACCATAGCAATTTGCAAAGCATACAACAGGGCTAAAAAATATAAAAAATATAAAAATATTCGGCTAAGCTAAGATACAGCCCAGTAAAACGCTTCGTACACAGCTTAGTCTAATTTAAAATGTTAACCAGGAAGATAAGAATTCGTTTTACTAATCCTGAGGGTAGAGTGTCTCCTTACAGCCAAGCATTCAGGAAGACTTTGTTTAGGTATTCCCACCTTTTACAGGTTCTGCTTTATAATGTAAATGTAGCTCTCTGCATTCTTTAGTGAAGCTGTCTGCAACTTCCCTTAACTACATCTCCAGCACATGTGATGATTGTTAGGTCTTTGCCAACACTTCCCACCTCTCAGTCTGGTCCTGCAGGGCTTAGCTCTGGGCCCACAGGTGCAGGACTTGGTTCTGCACACAGTTGACTAGCTTGCCTCTCCCTGCTCCAGGACACACTGTGGAATTAATCCCCTCCCTGCCTGGCTGCAAGCAAGCTGCAGAGATTGCAGCCAAACCCCCAGGGGGACAAGGGGACAGAGGAAGGAATTAACTTCATCCCTGCCTAGCTGCAGGCAAGCTGTGGAAGTGCAGCTGGGGCTGGCAAACCCCAGAATGCGGTCCCCAGGGTTTGCCAGCGAAGGGTGTAATGGGGGTGGGAGGAATTTGCTCTGGGGGCCATGGTAGAGCAGCCTCTGCCCACACCCTGCCTCTGCTCCATCTGGACAACAGAGGGGAGAGATCAGCCCAGCTCACTGGAGCAGAGAGCATGCTGAGATGCTAGGGGAATCTGGTTTAACTTAAACCAGCAAGGGGTCTGGGACAGACATTGCATAAGCCGGTTTGAGCCTAATCAGTTGTCTGATATCTATGCTCAACCAGGTTTATCTCAAACTGGTTTCAGCCATTTTCAAACTGGTGTATGTGCACTGAATGTCTGCTCTGTTACAGGTTTAAACCAGTTTCTGATTACTTAAACTGGTTTATGTGTAATGTCTGTCCCAAGCCTCAGAGAGCACAGGCTTCAAAGATGGCAGTAGAGTCAAATACCGTATGCCTGTTGTAGTTCTTGGAAAAAGAAGAGAGGATAATTATCGAGAATAAATAAAACTTGCAGAGAACTCAGTTTGGAGTAGAGGCTGAAATCCAGGTTTTTATTCATTTTAAGCTCAAATACACTTTTGTCTTCTATTTAACATTATTTTATTTTAAAACTTTGACTTTTATCTCTGTATATATGCTTCTTCGAGGAACCAATCAATTTTCTTTCCACATTAGTTTTATCTATTTAAT